TCCAGTTCTCCAGCCCTTTACCCTCCGGCAACCATTGGTTTGTTCTCTGTCTCTATAAGCCTGTTTCTGTTTTGTTTGTTAATTTCATTCTTTAGATTACACATATAAGTGAAATCCTATATTATTTGTCTTGCTCTGAATTATTTATTTCACTTAGCATATAATACCCTTTAGGGCCCTCCATACTGTTGGAAATGGTAAGATTTCATTGCTTTCCTCCCAGCTGTTTTTAATAGTTTTTAAAATTTAGTTGATTTTAGAGAAAGGAAGGGAATGAGAAAGAGAGAGAAACATCAATTTGTTGCTCCACTTATTTATGCATTCATTGGTTGATTCTTATGTGCCCTGACCAGGGATCAAACTTGCAACTTTGGCATATTGGGACAATGCACTAACCAACTGAGCTATCCGGTGGCTTATTTTAAAATTGATTATTCTCACAGTGATAACTGTGGTTGATTGAAAACAAGGTTTACTATCTATAGGAAACTTTCTCCTCCCTATCATTCGAGTGCCCCTAAATACCCTATTATTTGAAGGCCCACTTCCACACTAGGTCTAATGCTCTATCTATTGTAACAACGCCCCGTGAGTGCTCCAGGGCTGCCCTCCTCTCTCCCAGTGAGTACTCATGACCAGTCCATTAAACCCATGCTTCCAGAGGGTCTGGTATGACCATACTTGGGTAGGAATAAAAAGGAGAAGGAAAGCATTTTAGGGGCAGCAGAGGAAAAAGATTTGCAGAGAGAAAGGTTTTGGGTTCAGGGAGCGAGACACCTTCCTGCCTGAATCTTTTGGCCAGGTAAAAAGCCTTGTACATCTATGCAAAAGGCAGATAAGCTGCCATCTGCGGGTTAGAATTAAACTTCATGGAGTTCTTTGCAGTGACAGAACAAAAATCACATCTAGGAATCAAGACAATAAAGGAGGTTTCATTTTCCCCTTCCCTGAAAGGGAACTTGTGGAAAGATAAAAAGACCCGGAAAGAAACTGAAGAGGGAGCCATTTCTAATTGTACACTTCATTTCCCTGGTTATCTTCCCACCTCTTCCTCAGGTTTATAAATTCTTACCTTGGTCAGCTGGTGCCTGCTACTACGCAATGATGACTTCTGGGCAGCTATGTGAGGAAACCAAGTCTTTAACATGCCTTCGACCTGTAGCAGCGTTCTCAGATACCGCTCCCTGTGAAAAAAAAATTACAAACAAAAACACATAATTAAGTGTGAAAGAAGCAACATGACAGGGCTGAACATATCTCCTTTTTTAATGATGTACCGAGGAAAGAACCAGAAGAACTCACCCCATCTGTGGCTTCTGCAAAACACCTATGATACGCTGGATCCTGTCCATTGCCACACTCTGCTGGAAACTGCTCAATCCTGGGTTAAGGGAGTGAGAAAGAGATCAAGGATTGGAATTCAAGAATTTAGTCAGGTAAAGAAAAGGAGGACAGAAGGGAGTTAAAATGGATTCACCCAAAGAAATTAAGTCACCGAAAAATAGAAATAATCAAGACCCAAACAAAGACTTACAAGAAACACACATTTAAAACATATTTTAGAAGAGAGAGAGGAGAGAGGAAAAAACGGGAGATGTGATCTAGCTCAGATGAATGCAACTAACCTCTTTCAAAGCGACCCATCTTCAGCCCATTCAGTAGGTCTGTGAGAGGACGTATGAATCCCTGGAGCTCTTTACACTGTAGAAAAACGGGACAGAGGCTGTGAGAAGGCCATGCATTGCTGACACCAGTACTGATTCTTCTTCCACCTCCAAACCTGGGCGCCAACACTATCCTCACAGGGTCCTTACCAGCAGCAGGGGGCTAAGACACCCCAGTAGTATCTTGTTTCCCCAGCTTTCTCTTACCTTCTGAGCAAAGAGCAGGTCTCCCTCTGTGGTTGTACCATGGATGTTTGGACTGGTCTTCAAATCACGATCTCTTCTTGATCTTTTGACCCCAGACCCTGCCATAGGAGAAGCCAAGTCCCGCTGTTCCGAGTGAGATGCTGTATGTTGGTTCCTGGAAACCTTGGGTCGTCGCCTGCAGCGGATAGGACCGGGGCTGGGCCCAGAACCCCCGCTCTGCCCAGCAGTGTCCGGCCTGGGGCCTGGGGCCCCCTTCTTCTCCCCCTCACTATCCGAGGGGAAGCCAAAGTCACTGTTCACTGGGGAGGTGGAAAAAGAGGAAGGGGGAGAGGAGGAGGAATAGGAAGAAACGCTAGATGGAGAATCCATAGGTTCGGAAGCAGGGGCTGGAGAGCAGGTCCCGGAGTACCCCAAGAAGATCGGACCTGCAACTGAAGAGCAAAAGCAAAGGAGTTTGAAACCAGAATCCGAGAATCAGGAAATGGACTGGGAGACGGGGGCGTACTGTACGGGATAATCATCTCTCTCCTCTCCCTGGCCAACATTGCCTGTCTGTCTCAGGGACAATAGTAAAAGCCATCTCCCCAGCCTCCATTAAGAAGAACCCGAACTGCCTGCCAGCCTGCCTCTCTGGCCTCGGGCGAGCAGCGCCTGGCCGGACAGACTTCTGTATTTCCTCCCCTCATTTCAAGAGTCAATACCTGACTGAACACCTTCCCCAGTCCGGCCCATTGTCCGCCCGATCGGTTCCGAGCCCGATTCCGCAGCCAGCCTCTCAATCTGAAGTCACGCCACCCGCGAGCGTTCAATCTCCGGCACCGGAACCCACCTAGTGCCTCTGCAGGAACCCCTCCCACGGAGACATCCCTCCCCCCTCCCCCACCTGCCTCTTCTCCCCAATCTTTCCCATCAGGTCTCCTACTCAGGACCCTCTCGGGTCCCTCTGCCACGTGATACGATCCCTCCCAATACCAAGAGGTTCCCTAAAACCTGCTCTCTCTCTGGCTGATCCCCCCGCGCAGACCACAGACTGCCCCCCGGCCTCCGGGTCCCCTCACCTGTGTCGGTCGGCTCAGCCCCGGCTGCCTCCGGCTCCTCCACTCACTCCGGGTCGCAGCTACCCACCTCCGCCTCCCTCCCTGGGGCCCCGCCCCTCGCCCCTCCCAGACACGTGCAGTTCCGCACGTGCCTTCCCCCCTGCGTACACAGACCTCGCCCCCTCATTGGCCTGCGAGCCGGGGGCACGTGACCACTGTTACTGACACTCTTATCCCATTGGCTACAGCCTGCAGGGGCTCAGCCAATAGGGAGGCAGCCTGGTGACGATTGGCTGGGAGGGCGGCATTCCGCGCTCCGCCCCTACATGCGGCTCGGGGAGAGGACCCGGTGATGAGCCCGGGAGGAGGATGGAAAAAAGAGTGGAAAAGGAGGGAGGGGCGGGAGAGGGCGGAAGCCGTGGCCTTACATAGGATGGTGGTGCGCCGGAAACGCGTGGCTGGAGCGTGCTGAATGGTGGGGTGGCCCGGATCGCACGGCTAGAGATATAGGACTCGCGGCTCCTCCTCGGGATCCGACCCGTCGGCCCCCTCCCTGAGCGCCTCCGCTCACGAGGGAAGCACGTGGAGACAACAGCGACGGGCATCCACAATGTGTGTTTTAATGGATGCGTGCCGCCGTGTGGCCTCTCCCCCTTCCGGCTGCCCAGCCCTCTTGTTCCGCAGCCTGTTTCTCCTACAAGTCGGGTGCCTCTTGCCCTGCTGGGTGAGGAGGGTGGGGACTGCCGCCGAGAACACCGCGTTCCCTCTCGGGCTCCCGCTGGGGCGGCTCCTCCCTTACATAACCTGTCGTGCACGTTACTAGCACGGATGCCTGCCCGCCACGACTCTAGAGGTCAAAGCCGAATCCGATTTTTCCTGGCTCCCCTACCCGGGCCCCGCCGGCTCTGCGCCCCGAATTCTGTGATTCCTAGCGCTGGAACGTGGTGGGGGGAGGTCCCTGATCTTCTAGGTTATGGGTTCGTCTAACTTCAGTTTCTTCATTTGTTCCCTGGAGAAATTCGAAAGGCTTTGAAGGAGGGAAGGTGACAGGTCCGGGGTTCGCTGCCCCTCGCAGTAGGGAGCCGGTACAGTGGAGAGAGAAGGGGATAGGGACTCAGGGGCTGTAAGCAGATGGAAGCTGTAACATAGGAGAGGCCGCAAGGGGGCAGCCCAGTCTTGATTAGGGTCCCGAGAATAGAGAGGGGGGAAAAAAAGTAATGTCCCTGCCTGCCCTAATTACTAATTGGAAAAGGCACATTGTTGGGGGGGTGGGAGGAATGGAGGAGGGTGTGAAATTTTATCTATTCTAAGTAGTTCCTTATATTTTACATATGTTTGATTTGAGCTTATTTATAAAAAGAAAACAAGGGTTCTAGAACTTATTTCAACTATCCCCAAACACAGTTTTAATACCATCTATAATCAAATAAAGCAATAGAATCAGAGAGAATCATAGTCTGTGAATAAGCCTGTTGTCTGAGGGTGCTTTTCTCCATTCTTCCCAAAACTTCAGGTTTATTCAGTCCTAATACTATTGTCACCGAATGCCCTTTAATATCTTTTTTTAAAAACTGTTTTCAGCTGAAACCGGTTTGGCTCAAGCGTCGGCTAGGGGACTGAAGGGTCCCAGGTTCAATTCCAGTCAAGGGCATGTACCTTGGTTTCGGGCATATCCCCAGTAGGGGGTGTGCAAGAGGCAGCTGATTGATGACTCTCATCGATGTTTCTAACTATCTCTCTCCCTTCCTCACTGTACAAAATCAATAAAATATATTTTAAAAAAACAAAACTATGTTTTCAGAGAGGAATGGAGAAAAGGAGAGATATAGAAACATCAATGATGAGAGAGAATCATTGACCAGCTGCCTCCTGCATATCCCCAACTGGAGATGGAGCCCACAACCCTGGCATGTGCCCTGACCAGGAATCCAACTCTGACCTCTTGGTTCATGGGTCCATGCTCAACCACTGAGCCACACCTGCGGGGCCACCTAACTCACTCAGTCTACACTACCCACCCCCAAATCCTGGTGCTTTCTTTAGTATTGTGGCTTTAGAACAGACCCTCATGAAGGAGTAGAGAGTAACCAGATTATTTCATGTATTTATTTTATTTTCCAATTTTCTCTTCCCAAATTCCCTTCCAAAGAGTCATAACAGCATTTTCATCCTAAAAAGACAAAAAAAAAAAAAAAAAAAAAAGGAAAACAATAACAACCAGGTCCAGGGGACTCAGGAAACCCCTCCATGCCCCCACCTCTATGAAAACTCCCCAGATTTCATGTTGTGAGCTGTATTTCTCCATGACACCTCCTGGAAGATGTGTCACCTTCCCTTTTCACCCATTCCTTCTGCTAAATCTCTTCATGCCCATAGCTATTTAGAATCCCAACTGAAATCCCTCCCTTATAATACAGGTTTCTATTTCCTCCTCCTTTCCTCCACCACCTCTGCCCTACATTAGGGAACTGCCATCTCTTCTGCCTCTGAACTTTGCCTCTTGACGCTACCGGCTTATGGGGCCCCTCCCATTTTGCCCTCTGGCTCTTAAACTACCATCGCGCTGGAACCACCTTTAATAACTCAAGGCAGACTGGGAACAGACTGGGAACCAAGAGAGGTTTCTTCTCCATTCCACCTGCTTCTGCTCTAGGAGGCCCTGAAATCCTCCCAGTTCAAAAAAAGTAATTAATCTTATTACAAAAGTCTTGGCCTCGACATCTAAGGTTTTTCTAAATGTAATCCCTCTGCTTTTATGCATTTGAAAATGGACCAGGCTGGAAACACTAGCCAGAGATAGTGATAAAAACTGCTTCACAGACTTCATCAAGGCCAGTGGCTGCCCTCTCACCTTCTACATGAAATACATCCACTCGTGAAGGAGGGTCCAGGACAGGAGAAGGGAAACAGGACTTTGCAGACTGGAGACAGCATGGTTCATATCTGGACTCCACTAAAAGAGAGATATCACGCCATAGTGAGTCAGTATCCTCCTTCCTACTACTCCCTCACCATCTGGAAAGATAGCGTGATCTCTTCCTACCAACTTTTGTCTTCCTTTCCTCTGAGCATACCTTCTTCCCCAGCACCGTAAAGAATTCTTTCCTCTGTGCCTCTCACCCATTCCTGACCATACCAGGGCGGTTCTACTCAATTCCACATGCATTTTTATTTATGTGCTGGTCCCTGTGCTACATGCTATAGGAAGGAGATAAATGTGGTTAAGCCATGGCTCCTACTCAAGGAGTTTATAATCTAAAGGAAGCCTGTTATATACTTGAAAAGGTTTATCTGTCCTTGTCATCAATCAGAACTTTCCATTCCTCCCATCTGTGTTCAACTGTATTCAGGCTGTACTTTGATCCTGCTGCTTCTCTTTATTTCACTGCCAATTGTCACAAATGGTTGGTCTATGCTCTTCCTTACAATGTACTCCCTCTCGGATTCCACAAAATCTAGCTTTTGCTCCAACCACTCACTTAAAACTGCTTTTTGGGGGGTTATGAATAATCTCCTTCTCCTTGGCCTCTTGGTAGCTTTTCATTGATTATATTAAACTTCTCTTCTAGACTCTATTAGCTATCTGCCTTTCTCTTTCCCCTTCTACAGGCACAGGCATTGGCCTTTTGGTCTCCTGTGTGTACTGAGCTTTCTGCTTTTGTAACTGTGATTTTGCACTTAGAACTGCAGTCCTGGCCTAATTCCTCAACCTTTTTTTCCTTTTAATTCCTCTACCTTCATGACAGCCTCGATAGGGCTGACAACATGAGTTCAGCTTGGCCAATACCACATTTATAACCACTTCTAAAACCCTCTGGTCTCCCACTTCTCATTTTGGTTAACCATTTCCCTGGTTATCCATGTTTAAAATATGTTATTTTAACTCTCCAGTCATTTGGTGCTCATATGAAATTATCACTGAAACAAGATTTTTTCTTCAAAATATTTATTTTTCTCTTCTCCATTCAAAATGCCACTGCCTTCCCTAATCCAAGACTTTAATGGATTGTTTTGGGAATGATAGAAATCTCGTGAATCTCTTTTCACTCCATTGCATCCTGTGTACAACAAGACAAATAGTTTTTTTTATTGTGTCTTTATTACCCTGAAGAACTTACTAGGCTCCCTATTTCTTGTGAGTTCAAACTTCTTTTATTTTAAAAAAATAAAGCCTGCCGAAACTGGTTTGGCTCAGTGGATAGAGTGTCAGTCTGCGGACTGAAAGGTCCCAGGTTCAATTCCGGTCAAGGGCATGTACATTGGTTGCAGGCACATCCCCAATAGGGGGTGTGCAGGAGGCAGCTGGTTGATGTTTCTCTCTCTTTGATGTTTCTGGCTCTTTCTCCCTCTCCCTTCCTTTCTGTGAAAAATCAATAAAATATATTTAAAAAAATAAATAAAGCCTGACACTTCATATTTTCTAGTATTTTGTCCATTGTTCCCATTTGTGAAATTACTAAACAAATATTAAGAGTCTTATAAATTTTATTTTTTCTTAATTTCCTACTGCTCCTTTCCATATACTTTCTCATTCAATCATAGCTCCTCTACAAAACATGTCATGCTTGTTCTATCCCCATAATTAATGCAGCTCTTCTGTTCTTCCTAATTGCTTTCATCCTTTTATAATATACCACCAACCAAAAGCTCACCTATTCTTCAAAGTGTCTCAGCATAATCACCTTCTAAAAGTCTTCAACTCCTGTCCTGATCTCTCTCTCCTTCCACTGCCTAAAGCACTTGTCTATGTCACATGCTCTCAAACTTGTATGTAACTTAACATTGTTATAAATGTTTTCATTTTGTTCTAAATATTTCTTAAGTGTCAAATTGGGCATCAAAATACTTTGAGGACAATAACGACATCATAGATTTATTTTTTATCGTTGGCAGCATCCTTAGCTGCTTTAGGCATGGGTTACATAAACATAGGTTACATACATTACACGTCCAACTGAAATTTAACTGCACCAAATATTCCCAGGGTTCTGTATACACTGAGTGGCCAGATTATTATGATCTCTGAACACATAATAATCTGGCCACTCAGTGTAGATCCTATATAATAAAAGGCTAATATGCAAATTATCCCCTCGACCAGGAGTTCGACCAACAGGCAGGCCGGCCAACCGCCCATGTCCCCTCCCCCTGGCCAGGCTGACCAGACCCCACTCATGCACGAATTCATACACGGGGCCTCGAATATATATATTAGAGATCATAATAATCTGGCCACTCAGTGTACAGAGTTAGTATTTTTTTTAATATATTTTTTTATTGATTTTGTACAGAGAGGAAGGGAGAGAGATAGAGAGTTAGAAACATCAATGAGAGAGAGTCATCGATCAGCTGCCTCTTGCATACCCCCTACTGGGGATATGCCCGAAACCAAGGTAGTACATGCCCTTGACCGGAATCAAACCTGGGACCCTTCAGTCCCCAAGCTGATGCTCTATCCATTGAGCCAAACCTGTCTCAGCCAGAGTTAGTATTAAATCTCAGTGAAAGAAATGATGGCGAAGCTGAGATGAACACCTGCATTGCAATACTAGTCATTTGTTTTCCCCATCCATCAAAGCCTGGTATTCCATTCCTACCTCTGTTCCATGTTACCAGCCCCGGGATCTCTCCAAGGTAAGGGATGTCTCATGTCCCTCCCATCTTATCCCCACTTAACTCACCGGTTCCATTGTCACCGGTTCCATTGTCACTGATTCCATTGTCACTGATTCCATTGTCACTGTTTCCATTGTCACTGATTCCATTGTCACTGTTTCCATTGTCACTGATTCCATTGTCAATGATTCCATTGTCACTGGCTTCACTGTCACTGATTTCACTGTTACAGGCTTCTGATGGTCTACATGTTCTGTTTCACGAATAATGGTTGTTTCTTCTGCTTCCGTTACCTCCTTATCCAACCTGTTCTATCCTCAGTAGGATTAGGAAACTAAGCGTTATCATCACTTCCATCCAATATTCTCATCGAGTTCACCTCTCCTTCACCTCTCCTGTCCCCAGCCCCATCCTGCTCACCCTCCAAGACGTAAGCTCGGGGACCCTCCTTACCATGCATTTGCATGGATTGTGTACCCATCCCATTCACCAATTCCCTGCACTCAAGGGCTACTCCTCCCTCGTACGTGACTTAACCTACTGGGTTCTGGCTTCTCTTCCCCAGCTATGACAACATCTCTGTTTTGTATCCACTACCCAGTTTTACTTCACCTAACTCATTTTCATTTCTGTTAATAATTTTCATTTCAACATTGTTCAGTTTCTTTTTAACTGTTTCCTATCCTGATCCTCTTAGATGTCACTCACCAGTCTGTCCTCTGACTCAAACATGGAATAATCAACAGTGAAATTTGCACCAAAATAATCTGGGGAGGAGAAAACAATAAGTAGTAACAAAAGAAAAAGGCAGTAGTACCTCTATAAATGAAAAGGGGAAGAAATTGCTCTGAACACTTCAACTTGTTCAAGTTGTAAAATTTACTGGTATAATCTAATTCTAGAATTCTAGTAAACTTTAATGTGAGAAATGTCTGTGAATATGTTTATATTTTCTTTTTTCTTCCTTTCTTTTCTTTTCTTTTCTTTTTTTTTTTTTTTAGAGTGAGAGAGAAACATTGATGTGAGAGAGAAACATTCATTGGTTGTCTCCTGTATGCATCCCAATTGATGATCAAACCCATAACTCGGGCATGTATCCTGATCAGAAAACAAACCCACCACCTTTCAGTGGATGGGTCAATGCTCTAACCAATTGAGCCACAAGAGCATTTATATTTTCAATCTACATCTAAAATAATTTACAAATTAGAAACATTTCAAATTGTTCAACCCGTTCCAAAGAATTGAAAATTGCTATCTTGAGAAATAACATCATGAGCTTTGGTAGTCTGCTCATAGCAACGTTTCTCTGACCCAGTTGCTCTTTTGCAAGGGGAAAGACAAAGTCTCAGAACTAAGTCTCCCCCAAACCTCTCTCTCCATCCAGCTAAGGGTCAGAGCCTTCTAAATACTCACCATAATTGGGGGTGACTGTGTAATTATAGAACACTTGATAATAATAATCCTCTTCCAGTACTTCTTCATCATCCTCATACATTTGTCCTAAGGGGACAAGGACTATGGTCAAGGGGTATCTGGGACTTTTTAGCAACAGAAAGACACTTGAAGTTTATCTCAGCTCTATCCTTTTGACCTCACCTCCAAGGGTAAGACTATCTCCCTGACTCTGCACCTCTCAACCCTTCTCAGTCTTCTGGGCTTCATATCAGGATGAGGCTTATTCCTCTGTGCCCTTTCAATCCAGGAAATCCCACAACAGAAAACAGATCCCTTCACATATTGTAAAACAAAAACAAAAACTAAGCCTACAAAAAAGGCAGGAAGCAGAGAGAGAGAGAGAGACAAGAAATGAAGAACTCCAAATCTACAATGCAGTATGCTCCCGGCCGTCCTGTGTGTCTGAGAGTTATCCTCTTATCGGTGTCTCTCACAAATAATGAACACACATACCGTTAGGCTTTGGATTTTTATTTTAGTTCCATTGCTGTCAGGATAACTTTGAACAAGCCGTTTAACATCCGTTTTCTTAAAATGAGTCAGCTGGAGTAAACGACCCATCTGCATTCATTTTTCTTCCTTCCCCAGACTGAAAACATGTAGCTTTAACATGATTGGATCAAGAACTTCTAGGCCTCCTGCTAAAACACTTCCCTAAGCCCCTTGGAGTCCTGAACCACAAGCAATGACACAAGAATCTGGAGGAAAAGGAAACAATCAGAGCACCTGGCCAGACTGGGAACAAAGGAGGGAAGGAGCCAAGCTCCTTTTCAGACCCTGTCCCTGAAGGCACCCAGTTCTTCACTCCCCTAAAGGTCACCCCCATTTCTATTTCTTTACAAGCCCCCCCCCCCCCCTCCAACATCCTGGGGAAGAAGACAGACTGGCTCCCCTCACTAGTTTCAAACTTCCCCACCTTCGGAGTCCACGGCTCTCCTTCACTCTCATTAGTCCCTCTCATCTTGTTCAGTTCTGTAGTGATGGAGAGCCGAGTTCACGCTTGTGAGGACCTCCACGGTTCTGGGGCTTCATCCTCATCATCCGTCTCTTCTTTGACAGGACTCTGCTTTCCTCCCCCTTTCCTGGCTGTGTTTCCGGATCCCCCGCCACCCCCAACACTGGACTGTAGCGCAGATGAGAGAGTGTTTATCACTCCCCATTGAATTGCATCTCTCAACTGCTCCTCTCCCCCCCACCCCCCACCCCGCCTCCTCCCATTCCATTTACAGTAGAAGACCTGGCCTGAAAGCTCAGGGAGAGAAGTGAACTTACCCAGGATAAGTGGCACAGCAAGGATGGCTACAAAGAGGACATCCATTCTGGATGCTGCACTACTCCTGTGAAAGTTAAAAAGGAAATTGCAGCGTTTCCCACCAAGCTTACCCCGCCTCCGGCCCTCCTCCAGAGCGGGGAGGGAGCTGCAGGGGGTGGAATTCCCCTCCTACTTGCTGACGGACTAGATCCTCAGTTACTGCGGGTCCTGTCCTCAGTCACAGCTGCCCCTATGAAGGAAAGGGAAGTGGGCTACGAAGGGGACGTGTTCATTGAGCTCCCCCAGGCCTAGATTAAGTCCACTTAGGGTTCCTGCTGCCACTAACAAAAACCTCAAAAAACAAAACCACCCCCACTCCCACTACTAGGAAGCTTCTCTTAGTAAGCCCTCTCCCTTCCTCTCCTTCCCTCTCTCTCAGTCCCCACAAAAAGTTCACCATCCTAAGTTACCATCACCATCCAGAGTTGCCCTTCTCTCTGAGGCTTTATCACAATCTTTCTTCACAGTTGGCACGCTCTGAGAAGGGATGAGCATTTTGTAGCTGAAAAGAGTCCCTCTTTTCTGCCTGCCTTGGACAGTGAAGGATGGGAGCAATATCAACATCATTGTCTGACTCTCAAAGCACCTGCTACATTGCTTTTGATAAAAATCTCCCAGCCAAAGCCAGTTATTTCCTCTCTCGCAAGTACTGACCTCACCTCACCTCTTTCTTAACTTGCTGAATACAGGATGGAAGGGAGAAAGCAGATAGTCTCTTTCCCTGCGAAGGTGCCACACCTCTTCCACTTTCAGTCACTTCGTGTATTCCTTTCATCCCAGCCTTCCAGGAGTAGAGTTCATCTTATCCTTTTCTCCACTTTTCTGTTTTCCATTTTTATTGAATTCTATTCAGAAACATTTAGTAGCATGCATGCTAGGCACAATGTAATAGCTGAGTCTGATAGGCAATTCAGGTTCACAGGCAAAGGAATAAGAAAAAAAATTCAGCCGGGACCGTTTGGCTCAGTGGATAGAGCGTCGGTCTGCGGACTGAAAGGTCCCAGGTTCGATTCTGGTCAAGGGCATGTACCTTGGTTGCGGGCACATCCCCGGTAGGGGGTGTGCAAGAGGCAGCTGGTCGATGTTTCTTTCTCATCAACGTTTCTAGCGCTCTATCCCTCTCTCCTCCTCTCTGTAAAAAGTCAATAAAATATATTTGGAAAAAAAAGAAAAAAAAAGAAAAAAATTTCAGTGTGTGTGTGTGTGTGTGTGTGTGTTTTAAAGGCGTTAATACATGTTTTTCAATATCTACTATGAGCCAGGCACTTGCAAATCTCTGTGGAACCACACATGAACAAGATATATTTGGCACCTGCCCTCCTCTCTTAGGAGATGCTGTGGTAGCAGTTCAAAGGAGATAGAGGAAGGGTTGTCTTATCCCCACACCTTCCCCTGACTCAGCCTGATAGACTCAGATGCAAGGCACCCTAAAATTTTGAGCACTAGCCAGGGTGCTCCCTTCCTCTCGGCCTTATGGGAGAGGATTTGCTTGGTGACTTTCCATGTAAGTGTATACAATCTATTCCTTCAGCTCCTTTCCAGAATTTCCTGAAAAAGGAAAAATGTAAAAACACTTATGTGGATATATATGCATTAAAACATAAATCCCTCCCAGGAAGGAAAGGAAGCCTGGTTCTCCTCCTGCTACTTTTGCCTAAACACTAAGGACTAACCCCACCCATCCAAATGAGGATATAACCCCCTCTTCTCTTACTCTTTCTCTCTCTAATGTGGAACCCCTGCCCTGCCCTCCAGTCTGAGAAAAAGACACCACCAAGGTTCATTTCAGGAAAAAGAGGAAATATGACATCAAAGGAACTGAGTGACTGGGATGGGGGGTGGGGAGGAAGTAACTTTCCTTCAACCCCACCGCTCTAATTGCTTTTGACAATTTTAACTATGGATCCCTTCTGGCCTTCTTAATATTGCTCTCCAAGCCCCTTTTCCTTCTATTTCTCTTGTCATTACCGATGAAGGCTTCACTAGCGACATACTACACTGTACTGCATGTTTCCTATACTGGCCTGTTGGAAGAGCTCCTACTTTTAAGTCTAACTTTCATCTCTGAGGCAGTAGCTCTAGCCCATTTCCTCTCATTCAAGTCAGAACAATACCCATGCCTATCTCCTTGCAACCTCTATCCTGTGCTTTCTTCGTATTTGTCCCTTAGGTTCCTACAGGATCTTCCCCCCTCGGCAGCTCTTCAAGGAGAGGTAGGATGGCTACCACCCTTTTCCACAAAATAACTAAAGGAAGTCGCAGCCAGGGCACAATCCAACTCTTCAGCCCATGCCCCGCCCAGGCCCAGTCTCTGGCCAATTCCCTTTGTGACTTGGGCCACGCCCAGCACCGAAGTTGAGGGCTTAAAGGAGCGGGAGAACTACAACTCCCAGCAGGCTTTGAAACACGCCCCCGCCCCTCCGATTTTCCATTGGCCGGGGGGCGGGGCGAGGATCAGATGGGAAGTGACCAAGGGGCTGCTGCAGGGGTTTGTCCCCTCCTCGGCTTCCGTAGAGGAAGTCGCGCGGACCTGTATTTGGGGTTTCGGTGCCCCCCCTTCCCCTTCCCCGGGGCCCGGGGGTGACATTGCACCGCGCCCCTTACGGGGTCGCGACGCCACCCCCGCGGACTCTCTAGCGGGCGTGCTCCTCCCATTTGCCTCTCTCGGCCGGGCCTCCACCCCGCCCCCAGCTGACCAGCCATGGGGGCCGCCGTGTTTTTCGGGTGCACTTTCGTCGCTTTCGGCCCGGCCTTTGCGCTTTTCCTGATCACTGTGGCTGGGGACCCGCTTCGAGTCATCATCCTGGTCGCAGGGTGAGTAGGGATCGGGGAGACTCGGGAGGGCGCCCAGGGGAGAGATCGGGAAGGGGTTGGAGGAAGCGGGGTTAGCCCGGGAGCCGGAGTTGGGGGGAGACAAGTCGGAGGTGAAGATCGCAAAGGGTTGATTCGGGGGTTTGGGCGATTTCCCCTTCCCGCAGTTGGTTTCCGCCTTCCAGGGATCGCACAGATTCCTTCTCTACTTCTTCCGGCGACGTCAGACGAGGCCGAGGCCGAGGCTCGGGGAGGGGCGGTGGGGACTTCGGGCGGCCCTAAGGGAGGATCCAGGAATGGATACCTCGCCCTACTGTGCTCATACACCCCGACTCTCATTGGTCTGAAGGCTCTTGAGTCCACTTGTACTCCATCCCTTGCATCCCGAACCCTAGAGACTCCCTGGGTGGAAACACCTATCTTATCGGTTCCCTGTCTTCCTGACCATCCGGAAGTCTCACTTCCACTTTTCATGTTGCAGCTTTGGTTGGTTCCCTTCCTTGATTTCTATGGCTGCCTCTCCCTTTGCCTGTCTGATTGCCCCCGTTTTCCCTCAGGGCGTTTTTCTGGCTGGTCTCCCTGCTCATGGCGTCGGTGGTCTGGTTCATCTTGGTCCATGTGACCGACCAGTCAGATGCCCGGCTCCAGTATGGCCTCCTGATTTTTGGTGCTGCGGTCTCTGTCCTTCTGCAGGAGATGTTCCGCTTTGCCTACTACAAGCTGCTGAAGTAAGAAGAGGGGTGGTCAGGAGGGGAGAAGGGCAGAGGATGGCCCCATCAACAGCGGGGCAGCCCTGGGTGGTGGTGTGGAAGGAGAGCTCTAAGGGAGGATATTAGAGGGAAAGGAGCATCCTGCCTTCCCTCATGTGTCCCCACCCCGCCCCACCCCACCCCATCCCAGGAAGGCAGATGAGGGGTTAGCATCGCTGAGTGAGGACGGAAGATCACCCATCTCCATCCGCCAGATGGCCTATGGTGAGCCGAGGGAGATGGGCCGGAGGAGGGCACTGGACACTTCCCTCTCTCAGGGAAGTCGCTAAACATCCACCTGTTCTCAGTGGCTCCTTGTTTTCCTTCATGTCTGACTTCCAAGGAGCGGTGGTCTGGAGGGAGAGTAGGTGTTGGGGGAGTGTGACTGGAAATGGGGAGGGATCACTGGTAATCAGGCCATACCTATTCCTGACATTGATGACACCCTCCCTCCCCCCAGTTTCTGGTCTTTCTTTCGGTATCATCAGTGGTGTCTTCTCTGTTATCAATATTTTGGCTGATGCACTTGGGCCAGGTGTGGTTGGGATCCATGGAGATTCACCCTATTACTTCTTGACATCAGGTAAGACCCACTTTGTATCTTGACCTCATGCCCCATCCATCCTGGCCCTGACCTTATTGATCGGCCCTCCCCGGGAGACTTCTGTGGCCCCACCTCTCAGGAGGCTGGGAGAAGGTGAAGGATGTGTCTCCTCCCCCTCTCGCTCCCTGCAGCTTTCCTGACAGCAGCCATCATCCTGCTTCACACCTTCTGGGGAGTTGTGTTCTTTGATGCCTGTGAGAGGAGGCGGTACTGGACGTTGGGCCTGGTGGTGGGGAGTCACCTACTGACCTCAGGACTGGTAAGTCAGGGACAGGGGCCTAAGTCAGAAAAACATTTGATGGTGGGCTGTCAGGAGGGGAATCTTATCTTCACTTCTGGGCAGTTTCAAACTTATCCTGGGAGAAGGCAGAAAGGTGAATCTTCAGCATCAATTAAGTAACCTTCCCCAGGATGCTCTGGGGAGGAGTTTGAATGGATGGGTCCAGCTCCAATGCAGATGGCCTGAGGGGAGCAGGAGCGCAGAAACCTCTGAGGAAGCTGAGAGTCAAAGTCTCTTTAACCACAAGATTTTGGTGCAGAAGGGAAGGCCGGGGGCATTTGAGTGAGCTATCTGGGAGAGGTTTGGGTCAAAGGCACAGAGAGCACATGGCAATTAGGCAGAGGAAGAATCTAACCTTTTTTTTACTCTCACTCCCATCCCCAGACATTCCTGAACCCCTGGTACGAGGCCAGCCTGCTGCCCATCTATGCAGTCACTGTTTCCATGGGGCTCTGGGCCTTTATTACAGCCGGAGGGTCCCTCCGAAGTATCCAGCGCAGCTTCTCGTGTAAGGACTGACTACCTGGACTGATCACCTGACAGATCCCACCTGTCTGCCCACTGCCCATGACCGAGCCCAGCCCCAGCCCCGGTCCGTGGTTCACCATTCTCTGCCTCCTTCTCGTCGGTCTGCCCCGCCACCTTCAGGGTCTTTCTGTGTCCATTGGTGACCTTTAGGCTTTCCCAGGAGCGGCCTGGGTTCGGCCAGTCCGTGACTGGTGGGTTTGAATCTGCACTTATCCCCACCCTCTGGGGACCCCTTTGTTATCCAGGACTTTCCATGTGTCAGTGCTCTGCTTTCGCCCTGCCCCGGACTCACCTCCCTTCCCCTCTGCAGGCCGACGGCAGGAGGACAGTCAGGTGATGGTGTATTCTGCCCTGCGCATCCCACCCGAGGATTGAGGGAACCTTGGGGGGGAACCCCTGTGCCTGGGGTGCTCCCCTGATCTCCTCGCTCTGTATCTCTCCATCTCCAGTTCTGGACAGTGCAGGTTGCCAAGAAAAGGGGCCTAGCTTAGCCATTGCCGTGAAGGTGAAAGGAATGGCGGCTCAAGGTTAGATGAGCTCTGAGTGTCCCAGGACCCCCTCCCCAGACTGGACTTCTTGGTCTTTTTCTCAGGTCTGAGGGGAACCATTTTTGGTGTGATAAAGACCCAAAACTGCCTTTTTCTTTACCCCCCTTTTTTTTTTTTGACAAGGAAAAAGGAGAAGGTATGTTGGACTTCTCCTAACCTCCTCACATTGCTCCTTATGGCTTGGGCTCATATCTATGCCCCACGGTCCCGGGCCTTGGGGGGACAGGAAGGAAATGCATGTGTGGGAACTGGCATTACTGGAACTGATGTTTTCACCTCCTTGAGCACCAGCATCCCTCCTCTCCCCAAGGTGAAGTGGAGGGTGCTGGGGCGAGCTGGCCCCCTCCAGAGCCGCAGTGCCACGGAGAAGCCAGCCTGCCATGACATCGCAGGGAGGAGGGGAGATTTTTTTCTAGTTTTTAATTGGGACTGTCTGGGGGTGGGGTGGGGAGGTTTTCTATAAACTGTATCATTTTCTGCCGAGGATGGCGCGCCCCATCCTTTTAATCAAGGTGACTGTGATTTTGACTAATAAAAAGGACTTTATAATTGTGGGGGAATGCGCCTCTTGAGGAAGGGGATGACGTCAGTTGAGGTTCCTGCCCGCTCACACCTCTTTGGCAACTTCCTTCCTAATGTGGCACCTCTGATCCCCTCCCACCCTAGGTTTGGTGCAAGGACAGAAATGTGGGCTGCTGGTCCTATGTGACAGAAACTTTGGGTTAAGCATTTTCTAGGGCCGCTCCGAGGATTGATGTAAAAGAAGTTACTCACACACACTTCTTTTTCCCGATCCTCTGCCACCCGAGGGATTAAGGAATTCTCTCACACTCAGGAGCCCCAAAGGTAAAGCCAGAGGTGGGTCAGAAACCTTAATTTTCAAATATATTGAGCAAAAATATAACCCCCACAACAGCAGCCCTTCTTCCTGAGGGAATATCCTGCCCAGATCTAGGGAAAGAGCCATAAAGGGGGTGGCGGTGGGGGGACTGTGGGTCACATTCCCAACTTCTCCTACAACCAAACACAGTTTGCCCTCTGCATTGTCAATGTACGGGCCGCCTCATCTCCTGTATGTTTTGAGAGACTGCCATTCTTTCTTGCCTGAGGGCCAGTCCATGACTGTCTGGAGGAAGGAGGGGTTGGTATTTCTGGCCAGTCCCTATCCGCCATTCTAGAAGCTCCCTAACAGATCCTATTTGGGCTTCCGTGATGTTCGAGATGGATTTTATTCCATGGTGGCTTGTGCTGAGGTGAATCCCACACTCTTCTCGAGTCTCGACCTCTTCTTCCTGGAACGGGGAATGGTTCATGGACATGACTGGTGTCCTAAGAGAGACAGCTGAGTAGTGGTCGGCAAACTGCGGCTCTCGAGCCACATGCGGCTCTTTGGCCCCTTGAGTGTGGCTCTTCCACAAAATACCACGGCCTGGGCGAGTCTATTTGGAGGAAGTGGCGTTAGAAGAAGTTGAAAAAATTTGGCTCTCCAAAGAAATTTCAGTCATTGTACTGTTGATATTTGGCTCAGTTGACTAGTGAGTTTGCCGACCACTGACCTAGGAGAACGCTTTTCATTGGGAAAGAAGGGACTAGAGGAACGGGAAGTACGGCCTCACCGAGTTCTCTTAGCGATGAAATAAATAACCAGCAGAAGGCAGGCGCTGCCAAACAAGATTCCCAGTCCTAGGCTTACCATTTCACCTGGGAGAGAGATGGAAGGTGTCAGCCTAAGACTGACCTAGACATGGAGCCCTTCCCCGCCCCGTCCCCGATAACGGCAGGGGGCCTTACCTCTGGTATAGGAGGATTCGTCTGTAAGGGAAGGAAACGGGTCAGCGGGGCGTCCGATCCCATCCCAGCTTGCCCCTGCACTTGGGGAAGTCACCTGGCCACTGAGGGTTGGGCAGTGGTTCCAAGTCCAAGTGAGTCCTGGGAACCCTCACCCTCTTAGCCATCCTTTCCTCCCAGGGGCCCCCTAGTTCCTGCCACGGAGAACCCCCGTTTCCCATCCCCTTCTCAGAGCTCTGTCAGTCACCTTGGCTGAAAGAAGCAAGGACTGTCCGCTGGTTGAGAGGCTGGGGGACTCGGTAGTTCTGTCCCAGAGGGTGAGAGGGCTCCTCCGTAGAGAATAGCGTCTCCTGAAGCTTTTCCAGCTACAAGAGTGGGGTTCGAGGAGAGTCACAGGTGTGGCAGAGGGTCTGGGGGTACCGCTATGTCTCTGCTGCCTGACCTCCCCACCACTCACCTGCTCCTTTGAAATCTGGACCTTTTGACTGAAGACTGTCCAGAGCACACTCTGGTGGCAGGGGGGTGTGGTGAGCGAGCCGTTGTAGCGGAAATACTGGGCCAGCTCTTCGGGGAGCAGCTCTTTCACGCTGAAGGGAGGCACTGCGGTCGCCTGGCCTGGGGGAGAACAGACTGGGATCATCCTCGCACCCAGCTCCCCTTGGTAGGGCTCCCGGAAGCAGAATTCCTGCTGCTACTTCGCTCCCTCATCTCCAGCCTCTTGGTATTTTTTTTTCTTCTTTTTTGGCAGTGGGAGTGGGGGAGGGGGAGATTTCCCTGAAGTCTAATCTCACCTTGTCCTAAAATAGACCTTTAGGGCTCACCTTTATACCTGATTTCATGCAAGTGACTCAGAATGTGTTCATAAGCTGGATTCTCAGTCTCACCCACCTGGAAAGGGAGAGTGTGGCCTGAGTCCGTGTTCGGAGTAAGACATTCGTTAGAAAATAAATGGTCAGAGGGGTTGCTGACTTGCCTTGGGAGGGAGACTAACAACAGACATGGGCAGAGTAGGACTGAGGGGTGCGGAGGGAGTGAAGAGAGACCTAGAAGGACGCGGGGCCTCTCACCTCGATGAGGATGCCCAGGACAGCCAGGCCCTCGGCGCTCTTGGCAGCCTCACCGAAGCTGTTGTAGGAATCCGAATCGTAATGCACAATGTGGAGCTGAGGGGAGAAGGAATCGCGTCATTTCACATTCCTCCACTCCCCCCTCCCAAGGGCTCTGACGCCAGCTGCCATCATCCCCCACTTTCAGCAGGCCCCAAATCTCTCCCACAAGCGTTGGCATTATCCTCCACGTATGGCTTTTCCAGTTTCCAGATCCTCCTTTTCCCGGGGCCCACCCTGCCCTCACCACGTGCTAGGCCAAGCCTCGCTCTCGGGTACCTCTGCCGCTGTGGCTTCGCTGTTGATCTGGTGCTCTGACCCCGTCAGGGATCCTTTCTGACCCCAGTGCAGGTGGAGCTGGACAGCTACGTATTTCCGGGGAAGGCCCTCCAGATACAGGGTAGGGGACAGAGAGAGCTGCACTGGGGAAGAGAGAGCGAGCTCGGGTTGGTAGAGGAATGGGGACACTTCCCCACACCTGGGTTGCCACCAACTCTTGCGAGACTTGGCCTGCCTTCTCGGTCTTCCTTCACCAGTTCTTCCCATGGGCCCCTGCTCTTCCAGCACATCTTTCTCGCTGAAGACCAGTGCGATGGAGTTACACTAATCCACCCAGGGAGCTTGAGCATAGACATTCAGTTCCCACTTTTGCTACGGGAGCCTCATCCCCATGCTCACATCTAGTTTATAGAAGAAGCCCCAGGATTTAGAAGTTATAGTAGAATGCTGCTCCCCCTGACGTAAGGTTGGGGTACAGCTTTCCCTTGCCGAGAGCCAGGGCTTTTTACCTGTGTGGCCATTATTGTGCAGCTCCAGAGGCTTGGTGCCAGGCTGGTCATATCCGTGGGGCTGCAGAGCGGGCAACTTGGAGTCAAAAGTCACACTGCTTGTCTGGATATCGATGGGGGACTGGGCATTGCCTCCACACTCAGGGAAGGAGGCTGGCCAGTGGTCTTGACCATGTGGGCCTGGCGGAAGTTACCACAGATATCTGTTCTGCCCTCCAGCAATCAGCCCACCGGGCTACACATCTGTGTAGAGGTAGGACTGCGCATCCTCCCACCCCCCAGGTGAGGACCCCAGTTGTGTTCAGCTGGGTGAGGTAGGCCCTGCTGGACCTGATGCTTCCATTTCTTCCACCTGCCCCGCGGCAGGGATGACCCCCAGCTTTGCTGATAAATAGGGGTAGTGGGCTTTACTTACCTGCAGGTTGAGGACAAGAAAGCTCACAGAGGAAGAGGGGCTAGATAAAACCCTGCCCTGGGGAGGGGAGGAGGAGCAGGAAAGCTGGGGAAATACAGGGTCTCCAGGGCTTTCCCTCATTTGCTTTTGCTCTCACCCTGGGCCTTGCATTGACTCTGGACTTCAGCTAAGGTATTAATCAGAAGTTCAAAGGAATTGAGTTCCACCTCCATCAGGATCACAAACAATCCTGCCATTCAGTGCCTCACCCCTGACCTCAAGTTCTGTCCCAATTCCAGGGGCAGGTTGGGGGTGGAATCAATTAGGATAGAAAAAGAGGTAGGAGGTGAATGGGCAAATAAGCTCATAGTTCATTTTCCCTAGTTCCGTGGTCGGCAAACTGGCTTTCGAGCCACATGCGGCTCTTTGGCCCCTTAAGTATGGCTCTTCCACAAAATACCACGGCCTGGGCGAGTCTATTTTGAAGAAGGGGTGTTAGAACAAGTTGAAGTTTAAAAAATTTGGCTCTCCAAAGAAATTTCAATCGTCGTACTGTTGATATTTGGCTCTGCTGACTAATGGGTTTGCTGACCACTGCCCTAGCCACTATTCTTTCCACTCCAATTCCCTCATCCCACAAACTGAGGACATAACGGGCTCTTCTGCTGAGCCAGGAGGCGTGGGATTTGATGATTAGAACAAGGTCTAGGAGTTATATATCCCAAACCTAGGACACGGGGCGATGGTGAAGGGAAGAAGCTAGGGCGGAAAGCTAAAGGGTGCCATACGACATAACTCTTCCTGCCAGGTGAAGAGGTCCCAGTGTGAAAGGAGAGGTCAGTGTAGGTAGGCCTTGGAGTCAGCTCTCACCCTCATATGTCCAGTGATCATCTGCAAGGCAGAGGGATTTGAGTTACCGCCCGCCTGGGGCAGGGCCCTCCGGGGCGTCTGTACCCTCCACCTCCCTCTCTGCTCCGGCGCTCTCCTCCCTCCGCTCCAGCACTTCCCAAAGGAAGCCCTGAAACTGGATACCTCAGTGGAAAGGTCGGAGAGGTCGGGGGCCTATTTAAAATCGCCAGCCAGGCTGTGCCTGTGCCTGCTGTGGAAAGGGGGAGGAGAAATGAAAAGAGATAAAGGCCGGAGACTAAAATTAACCTGGACCCAAACGCGCAGTCCACCCAACCCTCACTTTCTCCAGCCTGTGCCAAGCCAATCGAACACCGAGAACGTCCGGGGTGAGACGGGGGTGTGGGCAGGGGGTCTGGAGGAGAGAGATGAACAGGGAAGGGAGAGGAGTTCAAAGTAGGGGACAGTGATACTGAGGGGAGAAGGGCGATTATTCCTTTCCTCTGAAGCACTGCTCTGAGCTGGAAGCAAACATTTAACTTTGTCCCCTGGTCCCAGTAACTCGAAAGGAAACGTCCCGTCACCCGGAGCCTCTGCTCCCCGGATTCCCAGATGGCTAGGGGAGGCGGGAGGCAGGCCAGGGTCCACTCCACATGCAGGGTGGTGGGTGGGCACAGGCAGCCCGGCTGGCAGGCACAGGATGAAAGTGAAGCATTGTGTGCGGAAAAGAGCGCTGCCAGCTGGGTCACATGCCAGGCTCCCGTGCAGTCCGTCCGGGCCGACAGGCAGGGGGTCTGCTGGTGAAGCCCTCACCTCACCCAGGGCCCAACTGCTTCAGGGGAACAGCCAGCCCTTCTGCATTATTCAAATTGCTAGAAACTTGGGAGAAAAACCCTCAATTCCTTCCTTTCTCTCTCTTATTCCCTTAAATTCCTCAGACTTCTAAGATATCCTTGATCTGTCTTGGGTTCTTCCGCTGGCCCATCCCTTGGTTCAGACAACAGTGAAAAGCCGCCCACCTAGCGGCTAGAGGAGCCTCCATTCACCGGCTCAGTGGGGCATCCTAACAACTCGAACCCCTGGCTCTGGGCAGGGGCAGCCTGGCCCTTCCCCGCCACCAAATCCTCAGCACACTCATCTCACATTGCTTCCGGGGGGCTTCCCCCATTCTTTTCTTTCCCTCTGATGCCTCAGCTGCTCTTCTTTTGGCTCCCACCGCCCTCTCTGTCCCACTGTGCTCTCTAGACAGCCCCCTTCACCGCGCTCTTCCAGCGGCTCTTAATCCACACCTGCTGGGTGCTGGGCACCGCGGGAGGCGCGGGAAACACAAAAATGAGGGGTGGGGTGCTGGGGACGCCCCCCGAAGCACCTCAGCCTGTCCTCTGAAAGGCCTTTGGCAACTGTAAAGGGCCCAACCGTGTTGACTTATTATTGCTGCTTCCTTCTAGGGAAAAACTGGGAAATCAGTCATTCCGTAGACTCAAAGGGACCCTGGGCCACAGCGTTCATAGCCTGGCATCGGGGTGTGAGTGTACCCCGGTATACTCAGTATACATAGGCCGGGGGCAGGGCATACCCCTCCCTGACATCAGTTTTCCATTTTCTCACTCCAGGGCCCTCTGACCCCCTAAGTGGAGGAGTTAGTAAATGAAACGGGCAGGAGGGCTGCCTGGGACTAGGGCAGTGGGGGGAAGAGCTCTGGAGAGAATCTGTAAGTTCCAGAATGTGTTTCCATATCCTGAGCCCCCTCCTCTCCGCCACCCCAGCTTTCCCCCATCCTCACTAACAGCAGGGCTGGACAGGCGAAGGGAAGAGAAGGAAAGTGATCCTCTCCCACCCCTCGCTTTCCCCCTAATCACTGAGACTGTTTTTCTGGCCCCTAGGCTCCCTTCACCACTCTCCTCCCGCCAAGCCTGGGTAAGGACACCAGCACCGACCCCGACACTCAGGTGTACCTACCCCCGAGAGCAGCCAGGGTCCACGTCACCTGCAGCAGGAGCGTGAGGAGCATGATGGTATCCTCGGAAGGAGCACAAGGTACTGGGAGTTTGGAGGCTGGAGGATCAGATGGGAGAGAGGGAGGGAGAGAGAGAGTCCTGAAGGTGAATGGATTCTCTCGCTGTCTCTGTCTCTGAGCTTCCAGGGTGGTTGGAGCTCAGGAGGCCACCGCTGGTTTCGAGGTCCCCAGGACAAATCCCGCTGCCTTCCCTCCGGGCCCTCTCTCTTTTATCTCCCTCTGCAGTCTTCACTCTACTTGCTGGCCAGCGACTTCACAATTGCCTTCTGCTTTTAAGGTGGCTCTGGATGGGCATAGGTGGGGAGCTGGGCTGCCTGGGTTGCCGGCCAACAGCTCCTTAAATAGCCGATTAGGCATGCAGGATGGCCCCGCTCGCTCGGAGCCGGAGCCCGCTGAGTGCACCCTGGGTGCTCCCTGGGTTCCGCCGGAGACCTGGCCCCAGCTCAGGAGCCCAGCTGGGAGAGCTCTCCCCTCCTCCTTTCACACAGACACTGTTCGGATGGTGTCCCCTGGAGGGGGAGGGGGGGGGCAGGGCAGGAGGGCTTCAGGGTTCAATCCAGCCCACTCAGGGGGACACCGGGTTCTCATTCCCCGGCTGGCTGCACCGAGGAGCAGCTCCCTGGGTGGTATGGGGCAGATGGGGGAGGCCCTTTCCCGTCTCCTGAGGAATTTGAACTGCGCTGGGCTAGGAAGAGTCCAGAATCAGAGACAGGTAGCCAGCCAGGAGGAGCTGGGAGACTCGGGGTAGGAAGTCAAGGACTAAAACCCGAGTCGTGGGGAATAAAGAAGAGAAGCGAGGCGAAGAGAACTTGTCCGGAGTGCCTGTCACCACCCCCTTCCCACGGTGAGGCTGGCTCCACGTGCCTGTGTGGCCTGGGTGGGGGCTGGGGGTTTTGTTTGTTGGATAAAGCCCATTTGTATGCCCAGCGGGGGAGGGGCCCGGGCAGCACCATGGGGAGACAGCGGCTCCAACTGCCAGGCCCAGGCACCTCCCTCCCCAGGGAGGCCAGATCTGGGGCAGGCTTTTGTCCCTGAAAGGACACTAACCCTGGCAGGGCGGCCAGGGCAGGAGGGAGACGGGGAGACCTTAGGACAATCCCTACCATCACCAAAAAAGGCGGGCTCCAGAGAAAGGGAGGGGAGGGAGCGCAGAGAGACCATGTGATCCAGCTGGGAGAGGGGCCGGGGTCTTCCCTCCGGCCCAACAAAGGGCCGAGCGAGCGGGACACGTGGGACCCGGGAAACCTGCCTCCGGGCGAAACCTGCCACCGGGCGCTGGGCGCGGGGCTGTGTCAGGAATGTGGGCTGCTGCTTGCTCCCCCACGGGACTGGAAATCCTGGTCGGAATGTACACCCAAAGTCCTTCGTTAGAGAACGGGAAACCCTAAGATACTTTATACCAGACGCTGCAATCTCTTCATCCCTCTTACCCTTCCTCAGTCACCAGCCAGGAGGATGCTCCCCTCGGAGCTCCCTCTGCCCTCCCTCCTGCTCCTCTAAGTCTAAGCAGAATAAACAGCCCAGACAAAGGGAGCGGAAGCTGAATGAGGGAGCAGGATGGAAGCCGAACAGAATGAAGCTGTGCAGGATCCGCAGCACCTGCAGAGGCAGCAGCCCTCAGGCTTTCTGGATGGATCTGCAAAGCCAAGCCATTCTGCAGATGTCACTTCCTTTCTAATTCTCTCATCAGCCTCCATATGGTTTTTCCTTGACAGGACAGTTGTTGTTGGTAATCCTCACCCAAGGATATATTTTTCTATTGATTTTTTTTAGAGGACGTGGAAGGCAGGGAGTGAGGGAGAAAGAGAGAGAAGCATTGATGTGAGAGAGATATATGATTGGTTGCTTCCCACATGCTCCCCAGCTGGTCTGGGCTCAAACCTGCAACGCTGGTACTTGTCCTTCACAGAGAGTTAAATCCTCAACCCCTTGTGCATGGGCTGATGCTCTATCCATTGAGCAACACCAGCCAAGACACTTACAGGAAAGTTTTGTTTTGAGGTTCCCATAAAGTCTCCACACATCTCACCTGAGAAGAATGGATGGTAAAGTGTCCATTAGACTTCCTGGGAATGAGGATAGGTATCACAGAGGACCAAGAGGGGAAAAAGAAAAGAAAAATCGGAGCCCTGGCTGGTGTTGGCCTGTGCACCAAAGGGTCTCGGATTCCATTCCCAGTCAAGGGCAGGTACTTGAGTTCAGATTCACTCTCTGCCTCCTGGTTGGGGCGTGTGTGCGAGGCAACCAGTAGATGTGTCTCTCTCACATTGATGTTTCTCTCTTCCTCCCTCTCCTCCCTCTGTCCCTTCCACTCTCTCTGAAAAGCAATGGAAAAAAATATTCTCTGGTGAGGATTAACGAAAATAAAATAAAGCAAAGAAAGCAGAGGTGTCTTTTGCTTGGCACTGAAGAAGGGGCCTGATCAGAATGACCTCAGAGTTCCTGGGGAGCGCCTGGGGCTGTGGTTCCACCTCCAGAGGCAGAGAGCGTGTCTTGCCAGGCGCCACCTCCTGGTTGTCTGTGAACTTTTTAAAAGAAACTTTAATTTTTAGAATTTTAATTTAAAATGTTTTGTGAGTGATTCCTTCTGGGAAGCGGTTCACTGCTGGTGGGCTTTGGGCTTTTGTCTGCACAATTGAGCACTGTTTCACAAGAAGCCTTCGCCCCGGCTCAGCATTTTCTCACTTCCGTGTGAGCAGCTCGGCGAGGCCCTCGTGCTTCCCAACAGGACAAAGGGCCTGGCTTCTGGAAGAGCAGCACCGGCTCCAGAGACTTGCCTTTATTTTGGTCTTTGGCTCCCATGTGGATATTTCTGATTCACCAGGCTGCTTTGGGATAGATGGCAAGAGAAGCCTTATATGTTTAAGAAAAAAAGCCTCGCCCTAACCAGCTTGGCTCAGTGGATAGAGCATTCCAGGTTCGATTCCGGTCAAGGGCATGTACCTTGGTTGTGGGCACATCCCTAGTAGGGGGTGTGCATGGATGCTTCTCCCTCATCAATGTTTCTAACTCTCCCTCTTCTTCTCTGTAAAAAAATCAATAAAATACCCTGTTTCCCCAAAAATAAGACAGTGTCTTATATTAATTTTTGCTCCCAAAGATGCACTAGGTCTTATTTTCAGGGGATGTCTTATTTTTCCATGAAGAAGAATACGGCACACATTTATTGTTAAATGAAAATAAAGGAAATTTATTACCTGTATACGGTACGGTAGTACGGTAGTTGTCAACACAAACCAGACAAACTGTGAATCCTACAGTATCAAGAATTTACTCATTTATTCATCTTCTGGAACATCATCATAACAATCCAATTCCTGAATTTCCTGGTGAATTTCTTGTGACTCCATTTCTTTCAGAATCAGTGGACCAAATCTCTCATGTTTAGCAATAGCATTCTGCGACAGAGCCTGGGGGGGACCTTATTTTCGGGGGGATGCCTTATATTTCACTCAGAAGGAAACCTGTAAGTAGGTCTTATTTTCAGAGGATGTCTTATTTTCGGGGAAACACGGCATGTTAAAGAAAAGAAAAAAGCCATCTCACTCCCACCCCACCCTCACCCCCACCCCCTTAGGTGCCACTCAGACTCTGGCACCTTTGTCTTAATTCCACTTTTCCCTTTCTAGCCCTCCCTTACTCCAGGTTTGGCTGAAAAACCAAGGCACTCCGCTGCCTCTGGCGCCATCTCCTGACATTTCAAAAGTAGTGAAATGTGAACAGGTCAGAATCAAAGACATCCAAGTGTGGCGAGTTTTTGGTTTGATTTTCCTTCAAAGGCCCTTAAAAAAAAAAAAAAAAAAAAAAAAGGATATTTAAACTTACTAAATATCCCAACTAGTCTAAAACACTTTACAGGAACCCACCAGGTTCTCTGAGCCTGTATGAAGAGTATGTGAGAGTTCAGAGAGGAAGGGAGGCAGATCAAAAGGAACTTCCTCAGGCAGTATTAATTTCTGAGCACAGAGAATCAATGCGGAGACAGAATTGGAGAGCATCTGATTTCCTAAAATGCAAGCAACTGTGTTCCGTCAAGTAATACAGATCCAGAAATGGTCCAACTTGATAGAAAATCACCTTTATTATCACACCCTTGTCTTCTAACCCATTGGTACTGAAGCCCCTTAGGTGAACACAAAAGTTTCCAAGAATTAAAGTAATTTGGGGGAGGGGTAGGTCACATTCTCAGTTTCCCAGTTCTCATGCAGGACAGATACAGTATAAGAATCTTTTTTTTTTTTAAATAAATCTTTATTGTTCATATTATTACAGATGTTCCTCATTTTTCCCCCCTCCATTGCTCCCCTCCACCAGGTTCCCATCCCACCCTCTGCCCTTTCCCCATCCCCCATTGTCCTCATCCATAGGTGCACAGTTTATGTTCAGTCTCTTCCCACATCCCCCACTCCCCTTTTCTCTGAGAACCATCAGTCCACTCCCCTTCCATACCTCTGATTCTATTATATTCACCAGTTAATATTGTTCATCATGTTTTTTACTTCCCTTGGTTTTTAGATTCACTTGTTTGATAGTTATGTATTTTTTGTTCATAATTTTTATCTTTAATTTCTTTTTCTTCTGAAAGAACCCCCTTCAGCAATTCATATAATTCTGGTTTGGTGGTGATGAACTCCTTTAGCTTTTTTTATTTTTTATTTGTGAAGCTCTTTATCTGGCCTTCGATTCTGAGTGATAGCTTGGCTGGGTAGAATATTTTTGGCTGTAGGTTCTTGTTATTCATCACCTTGAATATTTCTTGTCATTCCTGTCTGACCTGCATGGTTTCTGTTGAGAAATCAGCTGACAATCGTATGGGTGCGCCTTTATAGGTAACTACCTACTTTTCTCTTGCTGCTTTTAATATTCTCTCTTTGTCTTTTGCTCTTGGAATTTTAATTATGATGTGTCTTGGTGTGGTCCTCTTTGGATTCCTTTTGTTTGGGGTTCTG